AAAATGATTCATGCAAACAGATATTTTGTCAATAATTATGCCATGTGATATATCAAATGAAAGCTCATCTCACAGGGATTCTTAATATATTGATATCATGCCTTGTGTCATTTTCAAAATGGCTACCATTGTCCTTAAAATAATCAAAATAATCTCACGAAAATATTTCTTTTTAATTAACCATACCTTGTCATATATTAAAATAAAGCTATTCTCACAAGGAATCCAAATCTATTACTTTTAACATCATACATACATAAGACAATTAATTATGGCATGATAACCACACATTTAATGCTTGTGCTTTTGGTACCAGACGTCAAATTTATATCCACTTACATTAACCGCAAGTATGAAAGCAGAGAATTGTTTGATATCCCGAGCAGCTTTTCTGATGAATATAGAGAGGTCCAACGCTTGTATGATGCACTTCTTTCAGACGACAAATCTTTGGATATTGAAGGTGAGCTTGTCAATTTCATATTTGACAATGCTGATATCAATGTTAGAACTACCAGTGGCTTTGGTACGTGGCATTGTTTAGATGGAATTGCTAAATACCTCGCTCCACTCAAATCATGACATCAACTGACGTAGCAGCTAGGGGCGCAAAGATCCTTGTCAAGGTATACCACATGTCTAATGTCACATTAAAGCGCACAGCAACCTGCCGATGGGTTTGACCAGATTCCAAACTGCCTATAGCCTGACCAATTTCAACAAGTGTCAAAAAACGTCTCCTTTTAAGCTGCGATTTCAAACAGGTACCTGAACAGTGAACGACAGGGAAAAAGCATCAATGCACGTGTATTGTCCTCCACTTTTCATGGATAGAGCGACTTGCACGTGCAAATCATTGACATTAAGTGGCAGGTGGATTTCCATATTGACAATTTGAATACAAAATGTGACATTTGTAACAGAATGTATTGGACGTTACAGAACGTAATAATGACATTTCAACGGCCTGGTGTGTTTTTCCATACTGTTACGAAAGATAGTAAATCATCCAGTTGTATATAGTGCAAGCAAAAACGAAGATTTTACAACTTTTAAGAAATAGTGTTACCAATAGCTTGATCCTTCATTAATGACGCCGGGTAATCAAAGGAACCTAAAACTTAATTCACAGAACGTCAGCAAACAGCATTATTTACCGTACAGTGATTGATATGTGTTTGTCTCAGTGAAAAGGATACACATGGTTGTGACACATACTGTGCCTGGTACCTAGATCGTCCTTTACACATCTCAGCGCTACCACACATTGCACTGACAAATTGTTTGTGTTTCTTGTAGTACGAGACATTAACACATTACTGTGACGATTGTTGCATTTGTATTTCAGTAGAACATAAACCCCACCTCAACATGAAGGTCGCCATCTTCCTCCTCTGTCTCCTGCCTCTGGCCTTGTGTGAGAAGAAAGCTCTGCTTGGAAACAGTAAGTGTCAACACTGTACAGATCACATACACCATCGTCTTCAGTCTTATGGTGCATTAGAACCCCCAAGAGCGCGCGCACACACACATCACTCATCACACACACATCACACATATATCACACACACATATCACACAGTGCATACTCTCCACCACTATGGCCTGATTGGAAACAGTGAGTGTCGTGACACATATACTAGTAGGCATATACACGTATACAAGTCGGCATATACACATATACAAGTCGGCATATACACATATACAAGTCAGCATATACACATATACTAGTTGGCATATACACATATACAAGTCGGCATATACACATATACTAGTTGGCATATACACATATACAAGTCGGCATATACACATATACAAGTGTGCATATACACGTATACTAGTCGGCATATGCACATATACTAGTCGGCATATACACATATACTAGTTGGCATATACACATATACAAGTCGGCATATACACATATACCAGTCGGCATATACACATATACTAGTTGGCATATACACATATACTAGTCGGCATATACACATATACTAGTCGGCATATACACATATACATATACACATATACTAGTCGGCATATACACATATACTAGTCGGCATATACACATATACTAGTCGGCATATACACATATACCAGTCAGCACATACACATATTCTAGTCGGCATATACACATATACTAGTCAGCATATACACGTATACTAGTCGGCATATGCACATATACTAGTCGGCATATACACATATACTAGTTGGCATATACACATATACAAGTCGGCATATAGACAGATACAAGTCGGCATATACACATATACCAGTCAGCATATACACATATACTAGTTGGCATAAACACATATACTAGTCGGCATATACACATATACTAGTCGGCATATACACATATACTAGTCGGCATATACACATATACTAGTCGGCATATACACATATACTAGTCGGCATATACACATATACCAGTCGGCATATACACATATACTAGTCGGCATATACACATATACTAGTCGGCATATACACATATACAAGTGTGCATATACACATATACTAGTCGGCATATGCACATATACTAGTCGACATATACACATATACCAGTCAGCATATACACATATACTAGTGTGCATAAACACGTATACTAGTCGGCATATACACATATACAAGTGTGCATATACACGTATACCAATCAGCATATGCACATATACTAGTCGGCATATACACATATACCAGTCAGCATATACACATATACAAGTCTGCATATACACATCTACCAGTCGGCATATACACATGTACAAGTCGGCATATACACATATACCAGTCAGCATATACACATATACCAGTCAGCATATGCACATATACTAGTCGGCATATACACATATACCAGTCAGCATGTACACATATACAAGTCGGCATATACACATATACCAGTCAGCATATACACATACACCAGTCAGCATAATCACATATACTAGTCGGTTTATACACATATACAAGTGTGCATATACACGTATACTAGTCAGCACATTCACATATACTAGTCGGCATATACACATATACTAGTCGGCATATACACATATACTAGTCGTCAAATACACATATACCAGTCGGCATGTACACATATACAAGTGTGCATATACACGTATACTAGTCGGCACATTCACATATACTAGTCGTCAAGTACACTGCCACAATCACCCCTGACATATGCCTACCATCGATAAGTAATCTTAACGCAAATGCGGCGAATGTTTCATTATTAAACAAACTCAGCAATTTGTTTCATCCCCAATGCGTGTCACTATGAAGCGTGTGCATATATGCATTCATTAGACACACGCAAACACGCAAACACGAACGCACACGCACACGCACATACACATACATTCACTCAGTTGATTGCATGAAATTAATTGATGTTTGATGTCTCACTTTCACACAATACACTGTACACATTCTAATTAATAGAAATATTTTTATTTTAAGTTCTGGACCTGGCGGAAATCAAAAATCTTGTCAACTCAGTTGTGGAGAAATTTGGAAGTGACGCAACTGAGCAGGAATGTGAACGTGAGTGCACAACGCTCTTCACCAACAACATCATCGACCTCGGCTGCGACTTCGCCTGCAAGGGGTAACACAACCTTTTAATAATGTCCTTTTTAAGAAAAGGAATTGATGGGTCAACCATTCAAGGAGGTGACATTTATGAGTCAAGTTCTAAAACGAAGGGTGTTTCTTAGTGTCGTGTCATCAAACGTTTGTAGCGTTTCACAGTGTTACAAGAACCTCGTTGGCACTGGCTGATAGTGCTCAAGGACATCAAGGACGCTTCATGTTGTTGCAATGTCCTGTGCGTCATTTATTCCCATTGCTCGTTGACACCTATGATGTCATCTGTTGCTGTAGTTACCCATTTGGACCCGTAAAAATCCGGGTTAGAATCGATCTTCAGTAACCCATGCTTGTCGTAAGAGGCGACTGACGGGATCCGGTGGTCGGCTCGCTGATTGGGTTGACACAGGCCATCGTATCTCAATTGCGTAGATCGATGCCAATGCTGTTTATCACTGGACTTGTCTTATCCAGACTCGATTATTCACAGACCACCGCCATATAGCTGGACTACTGCTGAGTGCGGCGTAAAACTAAACTCACTCACTCACTCATGTACCCAGTTGGTGATGTTGTGATCGAGGACATTGCTCTTTGACATCTTTGAAGCCATATGTTGTTGCAAATACATATGTTTAATACATTTGCATATCTTTCAATATCACTCTTTGTTCTACATACATTTTGTCTGATGATGTAACGATAAGCTGCAATTAACCTCCTAGTTCCATGTTGCCATGGACTTAGTATACTTTATATTAGAACTTGACAAACTGTTTTTTCAAAAGCGAATGCACTGTATGTTTCAGAATCCAAAACCTTATTCACAAGTATCATCACAGCGCAACCACCGCCCCGAAATAGAGTGTCTGTAACCTTCATGAATAAAATGTAACTTATCCATCTGTTTTATCCGTTGTCTCGCTAAAGCACTACAAAGACGAGCTTGGTGACTAAAGACTTTAGAAATCAATTTCCATCAAAAAGGACACATTGATCACTATGTTACCTGCAAACATATGCTTCAAGGAAGTATAAATTCTGCTTCAACCATGTAAGCTAAGATTGTTTGTTGATGGTTTACGCAATAGTGCAGCTATATGGCAGTGGTCTGTAAATAAACGAGTTTGGACCAGACAAGCCAGTAATGAACATCATGAGCATCAATCTGTGCCATAAGGATACGATGACATGCGTGAATGAAGCAAACGTAGGGTGACCTGAATCACATGTTGGACTATCATTATGGAAGGGACATGCTCATATGTGTAAAGAATCGGCTTCAGTATCCATGTATTGTTTTGTGGACGCTACATGACCCAGTTGCAGGTGTTAACTTGACTTTTCCACAAGATTAGACAAGTCAGAAATGGCAGGGAATTTATGGACAATTGCAGCGACCATGTGATACTGAAAAAATATAGAGGATAGGTTAATTCTGTGTCACAATGTGTTAAGCCATTCTTCTTATCTACAACGGTAAGTGCAACTGTCATAGAATTGTGTAATGGTGGTGGAGATATATCTGTAACCAACATGCTGGTTACAACGTATATGGGCTCATTGAAATGTAATTATTTAATTATCAAGTGTATTTAAAAATCCTGTAATGTGCTTGTGAGGTGGGGTAATGAGTTGTTTCGTTTTCACGACCATTACTAATTTTGAACGGTCCACTGACATGATTTCACCGCAAGTACAAGACGCGTTGTTGTGATACGTGGTGTGATACATGTTGTGATACATGGTGTGATACATGGTGTGATACATGGTGTGATACATGGTGTGATACATGGTGTGATACATGGTGTGATACATGGTGTGATACATGGTGTGATACATGGTGTGGTGTGATACATGGTGTGATACATGGTGTGATACATGGTGTGATACATGGTGTGATACATGTGTGATACATATACATGGTGTGATACATGGTGTGATACATGGTGTGATACATGGTGTGATACCTGGTGTGATACATGGTGTGATGTGATACATACATGTGTGATACATGTGATACATGTTGTGATACATGGTGTGATACATGTTGTGATACATGTTGTGATGATACATGGTGTGATACATGGTGTGATAGCTGGTGTGATACAGGGTGTGATACATGGTGTGGTGTGATACATGGTGTGATACATGGTGTGATACATGGTGTGATACATGTTGTGATACATGGTGTGATACATGGTTGTGATACATGTTGTGATACATGGTGTGATACCTGGTGTGATACATGGTGTGATACATGTTGTGATACATGGTGTGATACATGGTGTGATACATGGTGTGATACATGTTGTGATACATGTTGTGATACATGGTGTGATACATGGTGTGATACATGGTGTGATACATGGTGTGATACATGGTGTGATACATGGTGTGATACATGTGTGTGATACATGGTGTGATACATGGTGTGATACATGTTGTGATACATGGTGTGATATGGTGTGATGTTGTGATACATGGTGTGATACATGGTGTGTGATACATGTTGTGATATGGTGTGGATGTGATACATGGTGTGATACATGGTGTGATACATGGTGTGATACATGTTGTGATACATGGTGTGATACATGGTGTGATACATGTTGTGATACATGGTGTGATACATGGTGTGATACAGGGTGTGATACATGTTGTGATACATGGTGTGATACAGGGTGTGATACATGGTGTCTGTATGTGGTTGCACAGGGATACACATTTCAGGTAAACGTATTGTCTACATCATCATATTTATTTCCTCCTTGGATTGGAGATTAGATGTTGATTTCATCAAGTGACAGTGGGATTATGTACAAAGAAGGGAAGACTGACTGACTGACTGAGTTTGGTTTACGCCGCTTTTAACAATATTCCAGCAACATCAGAAATGGGGGACACCAGAAATGGGCTTCACACATTGTACCCATGTGGGGATTCGAACCCGGGTCTTCGGCGTGACGAGCGAACGCCTTAACCACTAGGCTACCCCACCGCCCCAAAGAAGGGAGGAGGTATCAATTTACTGAAAGTTTGATGTTAGTAAACTAGAATGAATGTTCATTTGAAGTGACTTGACTGTCAGTTGGTGGTCACACTTTGTATAGTGATGAGGCGCAGGTATGCAGACATTGCAGACATGAAGGAAAACAGCGGAGAGGTTATGAAAGTGGAGGAGCACCTCTGCATCAATGCACACACTCTGTGGACGACCCATGAGCAACTGCAGGAATGTCTCGTCGTCACAGTTGTGGAGATGTACATGTAGCTTCAGGGGTAGATAATCCAGCGTGTTGTTCCAGTACTGGTCATGTTACAGGTAGCAATATGGTACAATATATATTGTAGTGACATGCATACCGGATCGCACACGACACAACGCGGTGACAGGTGTTGTGGTTCTTTTTAGGAATAAGACAACCTACACATGACGATGAAGGTCGCCATCTTCCTCCTCTGCCTCCTGCCTCTGACCGTTGGCGAGAAGAAGGCCCTGCTTGGAAACAGTGAGTTTCACATATATGACGCATGTACTAGTCGGCACATACACTGCCACAATCACCCCCGACGTGTGCTTACCATCGGTCAATAAGCTTAACGCATATGTAGCGAATGTTTCATTATTTACCAAACTGAACATTTTCTGCATCCCGAATGCGTAGACATACTAGCATACACGACATAGATAACAGTGGGCAGATGTACTGTCATCTCCAGTTCATTATGTATTGGAATACTCGCGCGCGCACGCACACACACGCACGCACACGCATACGCACACGCACACACAAGCACATTTGCCCTTCCTCAAGCGTCTACCTGCAACCCTCCCCCTGCCCCAAGATCCACTCTGCCTACATCACTCCACCTCAAGCACCCCTGCCAAAGCACATACACCACGTTAGAGCGTTTACTCCTTTGATGCAAACTGCACCATTCCACTGATCTCAGATTCACATTTCAAGGCACGACTTTGTTCTTGAAGTTCTTAACGTGGACCAAATTGGACAACTGGTCAACGCAGTGGTCAAGAGGTTTGGTACGCATGCAAACATATGGCAGTGTGAAAGGGAGTGTCTCGTCCTCTTCACCAACCACATCCTCGACCTCGGCTGCGACATCACCTGCAAGGGGTAAGTAACTGCTTGCAAAGACAGTGAATAAATGGTTGCACGATATGCTCGTGATTTCGTCTGGTTTGTGATACAAAATACCACGATTCTCAGCGTCGTGCAACCTCGAATCATTATACTCAAATGCCATGCCAACCGAGAGGTTTGTGGTGTCCCAAAGACCAGTATTCAGTTGCAAAGGCTGATTACGGCCTGTTACACTGTGCAATTTATTGAAGCAATTACTTCGTCTAGCACACTTGGTGAACTCTTGAAGCAAAGACTGATAGCATTTTGTAGAACCCTTGCATTACTTGTTACAATGAGTTTATTGATGCCTAATTGTTGTTGCGAAAATCTATTGCCTTTTATTATCATATTGGTTTACCTGTAAATGTATAGCATATGTCCTCCCCTAGCACATTCATTGATACCTGGGCGGTGGGGTAGCCCAGTGGTTAAAGCGTTGGCCCGTCACGCCGAAGACGCGGGTTCGAATCCCCACATGGGTACATTGTGTGAAGCCTATTTCTGGTGTCCCCCGCCGAGATGTTGCTGGAATATTGCTAAAAGCGGCGTAAAACCAAACTCAGTCACTGATACCTTCTTACAAAAATCTTGTTTGATTTCCGTAGTGTCAGGAACTAAGCCATTAGTGTAATGTATATTTATTTAACAAAATGCGTTTTATTACAGAATCCAGAACCTTATTCAAAAGATGTACCACACTCCACCCCATACCACTACCCACCACCCCGCCCACCATGGCCGAAAATAAAGTGTTTGTATCCGGTCATGAATAAAACTCACTTTCACCACTGAACTTGTATCTTGCGCTATAGAAATCGACTTTTATTTTATTTTCATTAATATTTATAATATCCATTTTCTTTGTTGAAATGTGATTTTACAGTATTAAACGGACCGTTTAAAACTCACGAAGTGAGTGAGTATGTGAGCCATACTTTGAACATATTGTTGTATCTGGGGTAATTGCAATACTGTTCATAAAGAAACAAGCTGGTCTCGATTAAAACGCCGCGAATCTGACATTTGTCATTCATGTGTTTGCTGCTTTATAAAATTTAGGAATCGTACAATTTACACTGCTTATGAAAAATCCGTTCACGTCTATGAATGTGGGGCGGTGGAGTAGCCTAGTGGTTAAAGCGTTGGCTCATCACGCCAAAGGCCCGGGTTCGATTCCCCACATGGTTACAATGTGTGAAGCCTATTTCTGGTGTCCCCCGCCATTATATTGCTGGAATATTGCTAAAAGCGGCGTAAAACTCAACTCACTCACTCACCCACTCGTCCATGAATATAGGAAGAGTTTTCTAGCTTGAAAAGAAAACACCTCGAGGTGATCATTTCCGCTGACACACTACTTGCAGCAGGACCAGCGATACTTGTATCGATTACCAGCTTGAATAATTTCTTAAAAATCTAGAATTAAACAATCTACTTTTACTTTGATAGGGTGTATAACGACTATATAACCCAAAACATATCAAACACAGTTTTACGGAAGCCTAACACCCATCTCTCACAGTAAAGTATTATAACCATTTCCATAAGCATAAGCAACCCATTGTACGAGTCCGACTATGTCGAAAGTATGTGCTTGTGAATCAGTACGACCATCCATACATATCCAGCTTAACAACACCTTCTGTGCCAGATCCACTTGTTTTGATTTTGCTTATCCTAGCAGAATTCCAACTGATATACATAATCAAATAGTACAACAAGGAGAGGAGCACAAATGTCGCCCATGCTGATGCTTTCTTCTTGCCTAAATATATAATTTTACATACCTGATATCACTGGCGAAGATTTCCACATGTTATCGCAGTAAACTTCAGGCGACGCATGCTTTATTTTTGACAAACCGACATGAATCTCTGAATAAAGAACTTTAACATATGTAAAATTAACAAACTCTGGTACCTGTCATTTGTTTTCCTGAAAACTGATTTAAATCATCATCAAGATTATATGAGGCAAGGGTTACCCTTATCATATACACTGCAACACTTCACAGGTTCACTAGTTAACACAGACTTGCGCAGAAGCAACTCGAGAAACAGTAACAGTAGATTTATGGTATAGTATGACCAGATTTTTAGTAATATGTTTAATTGGATTTCTAGTATAAACAACCTTGACTAGCTATCACGTGCTTGGTTTCATTCAAGGGAGACAACTCCGTTAATCCTTTTTCATTAGTTTGTGAAGAGTTATCCCCCTTTGTTCAATTGCTAGGCGACGACATTTTCAGTGATCCTCAGTATGGATGATTTAGAGAAGAGGAAGTTGATTTTAGAGTATTATAACAAGGACATAAGATCAGCTAAAGTGATTTCAAGTAGAACAGGCATCCCTTTGTCCACTGTTTATTGTGTTGTGAAAAATATTGCAAATGGATATGGCATTGAGCACCAGGAGGCGGCTTGGTATTCTTGTTTCTAAAAACAAACGAAGGAGTTTAGAAAACCTAAGGCTGGATATGATTGATAGAGGAACTGTGGCTGTCTGTAAGGAGACAATTAGAACTGAGCTGCATGCAATGGGTTGGCAGAAAAGGCGAGGAATTCCATCACCGATCATGAAACCTGAACAAAAGGAGCAACGGTTGAACTGGTGCTTACAGCATAGAAATGTTAACTGGGACAATGTGATTTTCTCAGATGAATGGTCTGTGTGTCTGTTTCCTAATACACTGAAATTCTGCACCAAACAAACTGAAAATCTTTGAATAAGCGCCCAAAGTACAGTCCGAAATTTAACGTGTGGGGTGGCATATCTGTGTGAGGGGCAACGCCACTCTTTGTATTTGAAAGGAATATGAACAGTGAGCGGTACACAGATATTCACGAGGGACATTTATGTCCATCTGCTCACGTGTTCTATGGAAAAATTTTGATTTTCCAGCAGGACAACGACCCAACACATCGTTCAAAGCATTCACAGGCCTGGTTTCGGACCCAAAATATGACATTATGTTAGATTGGCCAAGCTATAGCCCTGACCTAAATCCAATAGAAAATGTTTGGAGACTTATGAAGGAAATTGTCAATGAGAAAAATCTGACAAATATTGCTGAAATGAAAGAAGAGGTGGTCCGATATTGGGACAGTATGGACCACGACTTTCTAACTTCTTTGATCAGTAGTATGCCCCGCCGCATTGAAGCCTCCATTGCTGCCCATGGTGACTTGACAAAATACTAACTGTTCACCTGTCTTTGAATCTGGAGTTATGTTCTGCTAATATTCACATTTAATACGTGAGTAATGAGTGAAAAAAATAAAAAATTACAATCTTTAAATTCTCAATAATTTCTGGTTGTACTGTATATATATACAGACATGTCAAAATATTATTTTATCATATTCAAATGACAAAACCATTTTCATTTCCTTTGGGATGAAGCTGGGCAATATGGTCAATATAACTGAATTTCATATTATCCTCATGGCATCTATCTCTTAAAGGAGGTGAGGTAGCTTAGTGGTTTAAAGTGTTCGCTCGTCAAGCCGAAGACCCGGGTTCGATTCCCCCCATGGGTAGATGTGTGAAGCCCATTTCTGGTGTCCCCTGCCGTGATATTTCTGGAATATTGCTAAAAGCGTCGCAACACTAAACTCACTCAATCAATCTCTTAACGTTGATCAAGGATGTGTGACAACACATCTAAGAGAGACTAAAAAAAACCAAAACCTTCTGTCTTTGAACTTTGGGGTCACATTGGTCGCTTTCGATTTGTCCTGTAATAACATTAAATTTTCGCTGACATTTTCAGTAGATTAGTAAGCCAGTCTGATCAATCATATAGTCATTATTCTTTCAAATGCTTATATGATTCCGTAACAGAGTTTACCAAAGACTCAAAGAGACTGAACATTAAAAATTTCTGAACTGGGTTTCCAGCTGCAAACACTTGTATGTCTTAATCCCAGTTTTTAACCAGTGATCCTGCTCCCTTTAGCAACTGACTGACTGAGTTTGGTTTTACGCCGCGTTTATCAATATTCCAGCAACATCACGGCGGGGGACACCAGAAATGGGCTTCACACATTGTACCCATGTGGGGATTCGAACCCGGGTCTTCGGCGTGACGAGCCAACGCTTTAACCACTAGGCTACCCCACCGTCCCTCCCTTTAGCAAAGACTGATGAAGAACTCCATTACTCTGTGTGACGCAGTGACCTTCCTCAGTGGCATCTGAGAATCTGATTCAAGTGCACAGCGGTACTCCTGTCAAGAGACGGCGGCGTGAAGACAAGTATTCGGTATCAAGGCATCATTCATTGAAGTAAAAGCATGATCACAAGCTAATGTGGCAAAATGTTTGTCCGAAGTCTCGTGGAACAACTTTACAGGCAACGAACGCTATTAGTAATGGCTGGATCACCTAAAATAGTGCATCCTGCTGAACAAAGACCAACACGGATGAGAAGAGAAAAGACTAATCTCACGTTTCTGGTCTTATCAGTGGTTGCATCATTTTAAGAGGAATATAGCACGACAAGTACCTTATCTGACTGACAGCACTAGCACTGGAATATGTTTGACTGACATCACTAGTAATTCCAGAAAAGGAGGAGATGTTATTTTATTCCTGTTTTGATTGCTGGGTTAGTAGCGATTCCGATATTCAAATTCGTTCAACAGAATCAGCTGGGTCTACTTCAAGACCAGGTACATTCTCACAAGAGATGATGAAGCAGGAGTCTGAAGGCTTGGAACCCAGCATTGAATAAATCTCTGACTCGCAATTTAAATCCTCAAAATGTTCCCAACTCTACACATTACCAACTGTCGTCGATCACCCTTGCTGATATCACTCAAATAAGTAACGATTTCCTTGTGGCATCAGTTAATGAGTCGCCAACACCGCTTCCATTATTCATAGAAGTTCTCACAATAATTGTTGGGGCGGTTGGGTAGCCTAGTGGTTAAAGCGTTGGCTTGTCAAGCCGAAGACCCGGGTTCGAATCCCCACATGGGTACAATGTGTGAAGCCCATTTCTGGTGTCCCCCGCCGTGATGTTGCTGGAATATTGCTAAAAGCGGCGTAAAACCAAACTCAGTCAGTTAGTCACAATAATTGTTATTGTCAACAATACGGAGTTAGTTTAGTGACGGATATTATGTTTAAAGAAGGAAAATGTATTTTAGCTTAAAACCTTGTTCAAGTTGGAATCGGACTTTGGACTAGGAACATGTCATGGGATTGTTGCTTTTATTAAAAATGTGCACATGAGCATTTTCTGCATGTTTCGTGATCTGGTTGTTGTATGACACGTGTGTTTACCTGTTACTTTCCCACAAGTCCGGTCTATTCTAAAGATAACAAATGGAACCATCGGTTGCATCGACCATGTGATGCAGAGAAAAATCCAGAGGATAGGTATATATAGCGTCACACTTTGGGCAGTCATCTTTCTTATCTACAACGGTAAGTGCTGTTGATTGTCACGTAATCATGTGGGAGAGCTTTGTGCAACACCATATGCATTACAACGTATGGTGCACCCTTAGATTGCATTGAAATTTAACTCGTTTTATTATTCAGTGTTTTTAAATTATGTGTCATATCCTTGTGATGAAATAAGTGTTTTCCTCTTCACGAACACCCGGAGTCAATCGAATCATCGGTATGTTCTTGTGTTGTCGTTGTTTTGGGGTTCCAGGTTAATCATTGCACATACGTTGGGGACATGTTTGTTTTAGTTTATACAAGTAGCTACAAATGCCATTAGTTTATTCTCAGGGAAGAGGGAAAAGTATGTTCGTAGCACAGTCGCTTATGGTTT